TTTTGTTATCTATCGTTTTTCTTTTACACAAGGCATTTGTTAATTTCACTTTACATGTACGACGTGAATTATGTAAAGTACTTGTTTATGCACATGTTGAAAAAGCTCAAACTATTGTTATGAATGATGGAGAACGTTATGATTCATGGTCAGTCATTATAAATGGTATTATTGACAATGAAACAATCGATGGACAATTAATACGTACGTTAACTGTTGGTGAAAGTTTTGGTTGTGGACCAACATTAGAACATTATTGTCATGAAGGTATTATGAAAACACGTGCTGATAATTGTGAATTTGTTGTTGTGGCACAAAATGATTATTATGCTATATTAAATCAAGTATATTTTAAATGAAAATATTGTAGGAGAAATATTCTTTTTTTTTTATTATTGTTCTAGGGCGAAAGAAATATTCGAATTGAAGAAAATGGAAAAGTTATTATGATTAAAGAAATCCGTGTTAATGATGAAGAACAAAGAATTCCACGAGAAATTGTTATTAAGGTAATAATTGAATAATTAGCTTTATTAATATGAAAAGAAATATTAAGAAAGACAGAAAGAAATTTTCCGGCATTACAATAAAACCTATGCTAAATGAAAATTTATTTTCAATAAATTCCAAAGTCAAAGATTCAATCCATATCTGTTATAAGCTACTCAAGTTATTTTAAGGAAAAAAATGACATTTATTAAACTATTGGAAAAGTAAAAGATTTCACGATCCATCATTTCCTTCTTGAGACATTCTTCTATAGATTAAGTATCTGCCTACATTTTTTTTTTTGGATGATAACTTGCTTGAGATAAGTATTTTAATATTTAATCAGTTTAATTACGTAAAATGGTAGTGATATTTTTCTGGAAACGTGTCATTTTCCGAGTGTTCCAAGATTATGAGAAAGGTCATATATATTCAAGCTAAACTTAATTCAATAGTTATTCAGTATAAATATATTTAATGTTTTATTAATAAGAAATGTCACAAAAGAAAAATCTCAATATGATTTCTAATTTTTCTATTTAGGCAACAACAGAAAAATTACTTGATTTACTCGTTGATGAACGTCAATTAATTGATGATCCATATTTTGTTGAAGATTTTCTTCTTACTTATCGAATGTTTATTGATGATCCACTTATAATAACAAAGAAATTACTTGAATCTTTTGATAAAACTAACAATTCAACATCACGTGAACATATAGCACGTATTGTCTTATCATGGGTTAATAATCATTTTAATGATTTTGAATCGAATATGAAATTATATGAATTTATTGAAAAATTCGATGATTACTTACAATATGATGTCAATGACGTAAAATATTATTTTGTTTTTGTTTCTATTTAAATATCGTGCTTACTTGTTCTTTTTTTTTTTTGTTAATCTTTTTAGTATATGAGATCATGGAGACATTTACTTAAATTAGCTTGTTTTACAAAAGCTAGTATACGTACAATAATTATAACACGATCAACACGTGATGATACATTAAATTTTAAAATACTTGGAGGAAGTGATACATTATTAAATAATGGAATATTTATATCAAAAGTTGAACAAAATTCTAAAGCTTATGAAGCTGGTTTACGCAGAGGTGATCAGGTAATAGAAATTACGATATTATTTGATTGAAAATTTCTAATAAAAAAAAATGTTTCAGAGGGAAAAATATAATTTGATTATTTTTAATTCGAATAGTTTCTTTTCGAATTCATTCAAGTATTTGTTGAGAAAGTAAACTGATTAAGTTATTATATATTTAGGTATGAACAGGATCAGTCATTCTTGCTCCCCGATCAAAAAAGAATGTGGTTTCAGTCCCGGTCAACATAGGAATGTTATCTCGGTCCAGTAGAGAAAAAAAAATTAGTCCCGGTCCACTCTATTAGAAATTGTTAAATGATATAGATTGAATGTTGAGGATTATATGTAAATTTTTCGCTGATAGCTTTCTTACTAGGGATTAAATTTTTTATGTCATTCTTTGTTCAACAATTGTAATATTAAGTTTGAGGGTTAATTCATCTTAACAAGCTGCTCGAGCATGAACGACAACTTTTCAATTGATCTAAAATCCATGTTACTTGATGATATAATGAAGATTTCATGCAGATATTGCTAGTCTTACGGTTCGCTCTTGTGAATTTTATATTAGATAGTATGGATAGAAACCGTTTGCTCACGGACAATTTCGAGCAATATTACGAGATTCATTACTCTAGCACTGTAAGATAATTAATCGATCCACGGTCACTACTTGAATGATGCGTCATTACCATGAAACTCGGTAACACTTTTGAAGATGTGCTAGTCTTAATAGATGCATAGAGCTATTTCCTAATTTTTTTTTACCCTTTACATAGTAGAAAAAAAAAATTTAAATCTATGAATAAATTCATAACAAATCTGAACTATAAGCTCAAAAGTTTCTAATTGTCGCCCAAATTTCAGCTGTAAATTTGTGAGTTCACTTTTCTGGAGTATTATTAATCGAATGTCAGAAATTCTCAATTACTAAATGTTTTCGTTCTACATTTTCATTACAAAACTATCAGAAGAGTTTCCATTCTATCATAAAATTTATGCCAATTGCTATATAAAAATATCTAAATATTAAAAAAAGTATAAAAATCAAACTTAATAATTGTTGCGAAAAGGACTGCGTTGACAAGTTTCATTTTATCGATATCTCATTAAACCTTTGTTTTTTTTTTTTTTTTAATAGATTCTTAGTGCAAATGGACAATCTTTTGATTATCTTACTAATGCTCGTGCATTGGAAATTCTTTGCAATACAACTCATTTATCATTGACCGTGAAGAATAATCTTATGGGTAAGAAAATAGCCTAGAAAAAATGAGGTCTTCCAAGTTATGATAAAATATTTCTTTAGTTTTTCTTCTTTTTTAATCAATATTTATTTTTATATACAATACTAAGAAATTAACATTCACGAAATTTTAATAATAATCATAAAAAAAACCTGATCAAATTTTAAAGAGGAAAATAAAATAAAATAACATTTTTTTTTAGGCCTCCATGAAATTAATAATCCAGAAAAATCACCTGCTCGTAAAAAACGTCATGATATATCTTTATACGAACAGGAAATTCGAAATAAAATTAATGGTTCATCACCAATACGTTCTCGTTTAATAACACCAGCATCATCACCAAATCTAAAACGCAGTCCAACAGATCCTCATAATCAATTACACATACCATCAATAATAACAACACCAACCAAAGATAATCAAATACATTCCGATAAAATTAAACCACATCCATTAACGAAACATATGGGTTTCAAACAAGCTCTTATGCAAAAATTAAAAATAACAAAAAATACCAGGTAAATTAAACTTTTATATTTAATATTGATGATATATGTTCGGAGTGTTTCCAACGATGATACCATGTATATAAACCACATGATGAACTAATTGCTAACATAATCCATACAAGTAATAGATTAATATCTAGAGATGTTCCAAGACAACCTAAAGAAATGAAGAAGAAAAAAAAAAACGATTTTGTTTTGATTTGTAGAAAAAGTCAAACTGTTGTATAATAAAAATTAATTCACATTGCAGATTAAGTTTACTCAATAATTTTCGATTATTCTTACAGTTCAATTCTTTTATTGATATGTACACCTTGAAAAAACAAACTTTGTCATTTTTTCCCTTATGTTAATAGAAAACTAATGAAGAACTTTCGTCAAGTGATTCATCACTTTGGAGATAATGTTTATCTCATAATGTAGACCTTGTTGACACTAGATAACACGTAATTAGAATCATGTTCAAAAATTATTCTAGTGAAATTCCGTTTAGGTTATTTTCGAAATGAAACACCTCGCAAATATAAAATTTTTAATTAGACTTGTTTATGGTGATTATCAAATTATCTAATATGTCCTATTCAGAAAAACATAAGTGCAAAAACAATATTTCGTTATATGCATATGATAATTTTCAATAGTGATATTTCAAAGGAAGAGATACTATATGACATAATACTTTCGTAATCAACTTGTCCAGTTGAAGACTTTCAATATGTAAAAGATGACTTGCAGTTTCTCAAGAACTTCTAACAACAGAAAGACTTCTACTATTTAATAGCGCGTGTATCATCAAGTTTTACTGAATAATGTTCGCATATCTATAAGGTGGCGCCACCTTCGTTGCATTCTATTCTGGTCACCTCGAAGGTAACATCAGCTATTGATATGTCAATAGTACTCAACAGAACATGATAACAGATAGGCTATTAGATGGAGGAAGTGTTTCTTTACAAGCCTAAATATATCTTATTCTGTAGTTAAAACGTAATAGTCGACTGTGAACCCGAAAAATTTGGTTTTAGAAAATGATCTAAGGAGANAGTTTTTGAGTGTTAAAACGCACTATTATTCTAGAACTTAAAAACAATACGTTTTAACGCTCCAAAATTGGAGTTTTCGCCGTTTTAACGCCCATAAAGTTACAAAAAACGCCAATATACGCGTTTTCGTGCGTTTTTTTAATGAGCGTAAATGGCTTACAATCGCGGTTCCCGATTGTGCGTTTAAACGCGTTTTTCAAAATTTTTGTCTGACTGGGTATGGGCAATTGTCTTCCTCTAAAAAAACTGTCCGCAATAATTTTTGTAGCATTGAGTAATTTTTATAAGTTCAAAATGTTCGTGGGCGATTGTTCAATGATTGGAGATTGTAAGCGAGAATATATCATAAAGTTATAATAAACCTATAAGTTTGTTAAGAAAACTTTGATCTATATTCCGAACTGTTTCGTATTCAGGATTTTACATAAACTTTAGTTTAATTATATCTTTATATATATATCCTTATAGTGGAAGAATAAATATAATTTTATTGAACTTTTTTTCCTGTTCTAACTAATTAAATTTATCAGATCAATAATAAATTTCTTCATTTTTTTTCTTTGGTGTAGGAACTTAAATCATTACTTGATTTATCTCGAAATATGTCTGTTTATCGAAATTTATTAAAAAATGAATTAATTGTACCACCTATTGTAAGTTATTAAAATAATCATAATATAATAAATTCATCTATATAAATTTATTTATCTCTAGATTCCTATGTTTCCAGTATGTATGAAAGATTTAACATTTATTCATTTGGGAAATCCAACGCGGGATGATGGTTTGGTAATAGAAATAAAATAATATTTTTCCCTGAAGAGAATTTTTTATTATTTTAAGATTAATTGTGAAAAACTTCGTATGATGGCAAAAGAAATTCGTTATATAATGAATATGTCATCATCATCATACGTAAAAACAATAAATATTAATTAATTTTACATTTAAAATAGTTTTTATTATTTAGGATATTTCAAATATGTTTGATTCTCCTACATCACATCCACAAGTTTTTGCTGGTTTTGGTCATCAATCGACAACAGATTCAGTTGGAACAATGCGAAGAAATCATACTGGTGTGCGTTCATCTGTTATGGCTAATGCTAAACGAATTTATGATGAAGTAAAAATTAAATATAAGCCAAAAAAATAGTTTTTTTTTTTGTATATAAAAATTTATTCTTATTTAGGCATTAATGATCAAAAGAGTTAAAACATATTTAAATACTGCTGAAATAATTGAAGATGAAAATCGTTTACTTGCATTAACTAATCAATGTGAACCTGGTAGGAAATATATTTTAAACAAAAAAAAAAAAAAAACTTAGAATTTTGATTTTATATTAATGGGAAAAGTAAATTGTGAGATTTCCAATATGATTTCTTTTTTCTCGTTTTACATTTTTGTTTTTGACTGCATAAAGAAAAAAATGAACTGAATTTGATGAGATTATATGATTTGATGATAAAATATGCACACTTATTTCTTTAGATCTCGGAGGAAATTTATCGCTAACTACGCCAATATTAACACTTGCTGAACTATCATTGTTCACTTTTGATTATGATTCCATAACAAAAGAAGACAATGATGAAAAACCTAGTACGGTTAATGAAAGTGAAGAAGATACAATGAGTACTGCATTTTCACGATCAACGATAAATTCACCGCCGATAAAATTTCGCTTTTTGAAAAATCACTTCCGTCAAAATGGTATATCGCTAAAAACCAAAAAAAAAAAAACGTCAAGAAAAATTCTAATATTCTATTTATAACTAAGCATCAACTGACTTATCGCTTTTGCTATGTATTTATTAAATCATATATTTATCTAATTATCTAATAAACAATTTTATTATTTGTAATTTTCTGCTTTTTTTTTGTGTAGCAACTACGCTTAAACGACGTCCATCACCTTCAACATCAAGTTTATCATCGAATTCTTCTAGTGATCGTCGTGGTACTATACAATTAACTAAATTTGGTATGTAATCATTTTTTTTTCTTCATTCAATTAATTTTTATTCAAAACACCAATGAGACCAAAAATAATCTCTCTACTGTTTAGAACTTTATTCGGGTAAACATAAATTTATATGTTGTTCTAAATTTTTGTTTTTTTTTTCGTTGTATAAATTTAAGTATCATTTAATTTTGCTTGTTGTTGTTATTCGTTACTTGGAAAAGAAAAAAAAATTTATATTTTCTTTTTTGTAGGTACACAATCACCTGATGATGTTAATAAATTACTTCGTCTATCAAATAGTAGTTATCAAATAAAATCACGAGCACCATTAAAACCAAATCCTAGTTCAAACTCATCTGCACTCCGAACTGCATTACCATTTGTAGTTGATTCAATAACAACAACAGGACTTACATCAGTTAATGAATCGATTCAACATCGTCGTCCTCATGTAGCTAAAATACGTGATGCAAATAAATTAACAAGTGAAAGTTCAAGTCTAAATTTTAAACATGCATCATCAACATTACTTGTTCGACTACATACTCGTAAGTTATTTTTACGAAACATAATTAAAAAGAAAATAAATTCTATTTCTTCTTCTTCTAAGAATCAAATCAAAATAATAATAATTTACCGAAACAAACTGATTCGAGAAATGGTAATATTCATTCAATAGATACATATTTGTATTGATGAGTATTCTTTTAATCATTGAAGTAATTGTATTTTAGATATTGCTGGTGATAGAAATGTACAACTAACTAAAAATACTTTTTCTGATGAATATTCATCGATTAAAACCCGAAATCAATCTATATCAAGTAAAAATAAATAATTAATATTACTATAACACTTGGAAAATTTTCTTAAAATTTAACATCATTCTAAATAATTCTATTTCTTTTCTAGAGATCCATTATAATGATAATCCAAGACCCATTATAATATGTACTCGGATGTCACGTTCGAAATCTAAAAATGACATAAATACTAATCCAGGTGTGTATGAAATTTCAAAGATTACAAAACATAAAAAGCATTTTATTATTATTTTAAAGAATACTTTTATCATTGAAATTTAACATAAAAAATTTTTTGTGAAACACGTTCTAAAAGAAGTGTTGAAATGTAGGAGTAAAAATTTGGACTCATTTTCCCTATCTCATAGACCGTGACAGCCAAAATATCATTACGAACTGTGACAGACACTAGCCATAGATCATCACAGATATTGACAAATGTTGTTGATATGTAATCAAAGAATGTATATCAATGGTGTCTTGTTTTGATATATGAACTACTTTCTTATTGCATTTCTGAAAGATTAAGTAAAAAGATGATGAAGAAATGTATCCCGAAATAGAACAGCTAGATTATGTTTCATGTTCTAATTTTACAAATATTGAGTTAAAAAGCATTTTTTAGTGATTTTAAACAGAGTAATTGATATTTTTTTTTTTTATTTATAGAAGAACCAACTGTTGATTATGATGATCATGATCAAGCGACAGTAGTCTAAATAAATGTGCCTGAATGTTTCTTTATTTGGCCCGGTGCCTTTTTATTTTTTGTTTCTACAAACAGTAAAGCTGTACTCATTCTGCAACGAAACAAAAATTCATCAACGCTGTACATTGTTCGTTTTTCTGTCTCTTGTTTTGTTTTCTTATATTTTCCTACTAACACACTATTTGTGTTGCTCAATGGTTTGTTTTCTTTTTTCTTCGCTTATTTTGCTTTCTATTATATCGATCTGATTTTTCTTTTCTTCTTATGTTTGGAAAATCGTAGTAATTCATATGTTAGACATATGTCACAGAAAACACTCACTTATTGTTTTTAAACGGATTTAATAATTTTGCCATGCGATTCAATACAATTAAAATTCATTATTAGCTGTCAGATTTGCCGTTAAAAAGAAACTTTTTTCTCTTTCGTTTTGCCTATTTGTTTTTGAAAGAACAAAAAAAGAATTTAAAAGAAAAGGGGCTTTCTTTTTTTCTTCTACATCTCGTTACGAGTTGAGGTTGACTGCGATATTCATGTGAAATTTTTATATTACCAGAAACTAAATAATAATCGTTGTTTCATAAAAAAAAGAAACAAAAACAAAGCGTTCTCAACTTAATTTTCTTTCTTGCTTTTTTTTTATAAATTTCTTCTTAAACACGCTATCGCTTGTTTTTCTGTGTTATATTCTCGCTCGTTTGCTATCTATGCAGCAAAATGTTTCTAATATCATCATGTGAATTTATACATAGACATATATATATATTTGATTAATTAATTTTCTTTTTCTTTTTCGTTATATTAATCATGACAATACATAAGAAAATGTAAAATGAAATAACAACATGAATTTGAATGAGTCATTCTCATTGAAAGAAAAGAAAACGTACGAGCAAAAAATCATCTGACTATGTAAATATATGTGTATGGTTCGATCATCATCTGCGTTTCATTTTTCATTTTTTGCAAAATCATAAAATGTTGTTCTTCTTTCTTCTTATATTCTTATCTTGTTCATTAAATTTTGTATGGACAGCAACACCATATACAGCTTGTGAATCAGAATTAGGTACAATTAAAACATTTGATGTTACTGGTTGTACAACAGTTCCATGTAAATTTCTTAAAGGTAAAACATATACAATGAATTTAACATTTCAATCACAAGCTTCATCAATTACTGCTAAAGTTAGCATACATGGTAAAATAAAATAAGAATAATTTTTATATTTTGTTTCATAATTTATTTATTTATGAAAGGTATTATTGCTGGTATGCCTATTCCATTTCCATTACCTGATCCAGATGCTTGTAAATTAGGTGTTCAATGTCCAATTAATAATAATGATATAAATACAGCATCACTTTCATTACCAGTTTTATCATCATATCCATCAATGTCACTTCATGTAAAAATTGAAATAATAGGAGATGATAAAAATCACGATTATGCTTGTTTAAAATTTCCAGCAACAATAACAAGTGGCTCGAAACAATTAAAAAAATTTATTGGTTGAAAAAAAGGAAAATTATTTGAAATGTTTGATTAAAATAATAGCTGAATCATATTTAAAGATTTTAAATACTTATTACAATAATTTAATTTGCATGTCGTTTCATTATTGAGAAAAGTTTCATTTCATATGTTTGTTTTATTTCTATAGGTAAATAAAATATTCAGATTGTTGATAGTCAATATCATAAATTTTAAGAAATGGAGAATAAAGTCTATGCGTAGTATAAATCGATGAAACTGATTCAAATATTTTATTTGAACAGGTAAAGTAAAATTGAATTTTATGACGGAGTACAGACGATTTGGCTTATGGTGACCTCTAGTTTTTGCGAACTTTGTTAATTCTCAAGTTGTAAGTTGATAAAAATGAAGGTAGCATAAAAAATTAACCACCCGTCTGTTCAATAAGCTGGTTTTGCTAATTACAGCTACAAGAGCATCTGTCAAAAAAATAATAAAACATACAGATAACTAAACGATTAATCGATAGCGTTCTTATTCACCTGGTTGTATGCACTTCTTCCGTTTTTTACAGAAAACCAATGCAAAGAGCTCTGCCACTTTTTTCTTCATATGTTTAAGACGAGTATATTATTGTCTATGATAGAATGAGTATTTCTTTGCGTATGTGTTTGACGAACTTTCTCTAGTGAACAGATGCATTAGATCTTGGAATACATATTTGGTAGCGTTAGCAGACTCAGTTGATGGAGAAATGCTCTTTGCACGTGCATTCTTGAATGAGTTTAGACATTTCTGGGCACATAGAGTGTTTTCAATTAGATATTTACGAGTTTCCAAAATGTATATCAAAAATATTTCAGTGTTGAAGAAATGTATTAAGTGGATATCTGCGAATTGCTCCATAGTCTCTATCCTTCACTTTGAAATAGAAGAAATTGAGCTCCTCCAAAATTCTTCAGAATCTTTTCTCTAACAAAGGTTCTGAAACAGGAAGAAGACAAGGAAAGGAACTCAATCTATTTCTAAATCTATTTTAAAAACCGATAAAACTATGACGACGCAATGTAGAAGTACTGATCACTCTGCTCTTTGCGGTATCGTATGTTCTACAACTCGTTTATTGTGACTGATATCAACATGATGGCTCGATGTCTTAGGTAATTTTTATTGCTAGACATTCATATGATTGTATATCTCTGTGTCCTACCTATTCTTTTTTCTCTTTGGTTTTTTTCTTCCTTTCTTTCTTTTCATTTGTTTTTGCGTATTATTTTCCTTTAATTGTCCTTTTTCTGTACTGGAAGGCCCAGCAAGTCGCCAGTTACTGCAAAATTTTAAAAAAAGAAAAGAAAAACAATGAACCGAAGAGAGCGCCATTCTGTGACTTCTCCGCTCTTTGCCATTGAATAGCTTTAACTGTTTAAGGCTTATGAAAAGATTATGAATGTTCACCATCTAACAACAGAAAGTGATCAGTACTAGACTTACTGCCTATCTTAATAAACATGAAAGGCCAGTACAACGTTACAATGGCATGTTCAACAAAATCTGTAAACGGAGATAGTAATGCCTAGGAAAATCGGAATACAACGCTCTCACATGTAAAAAACCTGCGAGGAATGTTAAAAAAACTTTTATGAATCGACAACACTTTTCAGATGAAAAATCAAAATTGTTAGAAAGATTGTTAAACAAGCTAAAAAACCCAAATCGGAAAAAAAGAGTAGAACATGAATGAATTGATTTTTAGTACCTTGCTATTCGATTCTTTGATTATTCACGACAATTCTACCTTTATAAACTAAGAAATTTTGCTAATGATTTACCAGAACGTTTTTAAACGGCGTATTTTACCGGCTGACAATCATCATATAAAGATCTACAGAGACGATTCATATAACACACTATAGTGCAATGCATTGAACTAGTTCGGACAAGTCTAGATATAAATATAATAGGAAGTTAAAGGCTAGATTAGAAATACACACATTCTGTTACTTACCCGTCGTTCGGACTATTGAACCAAATAATCAAAAATTCTTCTTTTATATCTCGCTAAACATTAGTAGACACTATTTAATTGAAATATATTCGGAAATTTTCTAAAAATTTTTATATGAATAAAAAAAGTTATCGTAATACAAACTTAGGTATACCAGCTCAAACAAGAGTGCTCTTAACCTTTTCAATCAAAAGAAGAAAATTATATTTTTCTCTTTAGGTTTTATATAACATTTACAGAATCTAAAAAAGAATATCAAGCGTAAAATGAAATAATAATTTTTTAAATTGAAGTGAAAATAATTTTTATAAATACCATGATTTTATTTTTAATTAAATCAATCCATTTTGAAATTAACACTAAAATGAATTTCTACAGCCTGGAGCACTTTTTTAATTAGTCTAATCAGAATGAATATTTTCATTTAAATAAAATAATGACAAAACAATATTCGTCTAATTTTGAGATGGATCTGGATCTTTTCGTCACTGATGTCTACATCCACAGTCACTTCAGACTAATCAAGTCACTTGTTTTCGACCAGCGTTCGATGATATAGCTATTGGATGCGTCTCTGTGTTAGTTGGGTTGTCAACATTGATATCAGTCCATCGTTAATGGATCGTCTGTCGTCAGGACATCCATCAAGTCCTGAATACTGTCAGGTCACATGTTTGAATCCACCTATCGGCTCAATTAAACCAGTGTAAAAACTCAAAAAAAGATTATTGCTGATACATTTTGTTTTTTTTCTTTATTAAAAACCAAGTTCTTCTGTCAGATATTGGTTCTAAGAGTTGTGCTTATTATTGAAAAATTTGTGATGGATAGAAGTCAATGAAATCTATCGACTGGTATTAACTTCGTATTTAAATTGAAGAGCTGTGTCAACTGAGAAAATGTTTGTGCTAGATAAAGCTCGACAACATCATAGAGTAATATGATATGCAATCCCACTCATCAAGAAAAATTTCTTTCTTCTACCAATAATGGATAGGATTTTAGTAGTGGGCCTTTGAGATGATCTAATATTGATATCCTGTAAATCACATCTCAGTCGATCCGAAAATTTTATTTATTATGTAAGTAGATTACTTATGTGCTTCGAATATAACCATTCGATAAAAATTAGCAATTTTCATATAGATATAGAATACATATTAAATTGGCTCAAAGGAGATTTCATTAGTTGTAAAGCAATTTCAGAATTTTTTGTTTTCTACACAGTACCAACAAATCATTCGAAACTTAGGTGGATTATTGAATCAACATAGTACTATATAATTGTAAGTTATCAGATGTTATAGCTCCATCTTTACTGAGAAACTATAACAATATAGTTGCTTTCTTTTATGAAGCTTTTCAAAAATATTAATTACTAACATTTGATTAAAAAGTAATGCCATAAATGTTGACCTGCATGTCGTATTGGTGGAGAAATTTGAAACAAAAATAAGAGGTAAAACAGTTTTTAATAATTAAACTAATATTAACCAGCGAGACTAGTAGATAAAATGTTATACTACATGATAATGCTAAAACAAATTGATTTTTCTAAAAAGTCTACGATAAAGCTGTTTGTTAAGAAAAACTTTATTTCATCATTAAAAATAACTTACATCATTCTTGAGTAACTTCAATGGTCTATATCAATATAATACATTGAGCATATTTTATTCTTTTATTAAATATGTGTCTTTAACAGTCGATAGCTATAGATTTTGAAAAATACTTCGGAGAATAAATAATATTCAACTAACGAAGGAATGTTTCTAAGTTTTCGATCGCTTTTTGATCAAGATTTTACTCACATGATATGCTATTGTGTGTAGTGTCAAAGCCTACGATGATTCACTTGTCTGAATCATTGTTCTTGAACACAGATTTTGATTAAAAACTCCAGGAAAAATTCAATATCTCAAGTACAAAATTTCAGACAACTGAATCATCTTAGGTTTGGAAACTATTCACCATAGATTATCATCTGAATACAGTCTCGATCAAATATTTACTTGTAAAAACATAATTATTAAAATAAGAATAATACAAACAATAATTTTTAAACATTTTATTTTCATTCTTGTTTTCTTTTTTTCATATATTCAAAGTCTTAGTTACATATAAAGAGTACATGTTTCATTATTAAATGTCACACCAACACATGAATCATCCGATGAGCATATACCACTACATGTTATTAGACTTCGTGAAGAAAATGTATTTAATACACCACCATACATATTTTGTTTATTGAAATGAAACTGAACCATACCTAATCGTTGCGATGGTGTTGAACATTTTTGTATAATACTTTGCTGTATTGTACGAGTACATACAGTAAAAGCATAGAGAATAGGTGCTGTTGTTGTTGTTGCTGGGCATAACAGTGGTATAAGACATAAAACAACACTTAACACATTTGTAAGAGAGTCGAGCAAGCCACCAAGATCATTAGAATTAGCAACTAAACCTGTCTGTGAACCAGATGAATACCAAAAATTTCCACTACAATTTTGTGTTATAAATGTAGTATTAAGTAGAGCAATATCGTTTGTTAATGATGCTGTTCCATTAGTTAAATTTAAAAGAGTCATTTGATGACTTTGGCAAAGTTGCAATGCACCACTAGCTGTTCTTAATACTCCACACTCAATATAGAATTTAATCGATAGAGAACAAGCAGCTTGTGTCATGGAAAAATGTCCAGTAAGAAAAAGAAATAACATATACCATTCCATATTGTTGATGAAACACAAAAATAAATTTTCTCTTATGACTTTTTAGTAGTTTACTTGAAGAATTTATAGGCCATTAGTTATAAGAAATAGTATCTTTTTCTTCCGTTTGTTTTTTCTTTTATAAGCTTCTACAATTGACAAATCAATTAATTAATTGTATTGAAAGGAATTCATTTCCGATAGTTGCATGATATTCAACAATTTTCTTTTAGTTTAAAATGTTCGATGAGTATGAATAATAATTGAAATGTAAGTTTTGATAGTGAACTTTTTGAATAAAATAATATATAAGTCAGTAGCAATCTTAGAAAGAATGAAGTCATTTCATGTCAAATTTTGTTCGAATATCAAAGCAAAACTTTAAAATATTAGATTGTGGAGACTAAATCAAATATTTTATTAACATTCATATGTTTCTTCGGGATGATGATGTAGTTTGAATGAATATTACTTTAAATAGTTTGATAATAAACTAATATGTAAATTTTATTTAAGTCGAACTCGAAGGATTTTCTCAAACACTATTTTCTATGTAAGCGTCCTTTGATAGAAAAAAAATGACTTTCTCCTATATCATATTGACATATAGAAGAAATCTTAAAAACTTAGAAATTTCTCGTTTCAAATTCAAAAGAAAAAAAATAAAGACATTATAATACTCAGAAAAGTTCCTATTGTAAAAGTATTTGTTTTCTTTGCTTCGTCTGAATGTCATCCGTTATGAAAAGTATTATTTGGCATGGAATTTTCCAATTACTGATTCTGGAAAAATCTCTTTCTATTCTTGAATTATTAAACAATATAATAGATTGATTTTCTTCCATAACATGGTTTGTCAAAAAGAAAAAAGAAGCACTCTTTGCTTTGTATTAAAAAGCATATACACTCTGTATAAATTATTAAGATAAATACATATATAAATATTGTCTACAGATTTTTTCAAACAAATTCTTTATTATATTTTGTAATAATCATAATATCGTGAGCTTTACAAAAGATTATTTCATTTGATTGAAAAAATATCTGTATATAAAATGATATTAAACTTCAAAGTTTACAAATTCTATAATAATGTTGCTCAATGAATTGGAATGTTTTCATATTCATTCGTTCCGATTGTGTTACATATATATTTTTATAATTCTTTGTTGTACTGAATGAGTGTAAATAATGATGACTTGAGTAATATGTGCTGAAGTTATTGTTATCGGATAACAGTCTAGAATATTAAAAAAGATTCTTACTGCTAATTTATAAGTTAAAATTGAAAACGCCACTAAGAAGTATGTTTATTACTTCATTAAGTGTATTAACACTTGTAAGAATATCAGTTATTTTTCTAAATACAAGCTAAAATTTA